CAGCACTGCAGTGACTAAAGCTGACAAAGAGTGATGGACAGATGACATATAGTAAGCCAAATTTCAGTGATACCTAGTTTGCCATGTGACAGCTCAGTGTGACGTACCCTCTCTGGGCCACATTACTGGACATGTTACTGAAAAATGGACAGATGGATTTGTCCTTATACAGTATAACCTGTATATATAGCTCTTCATTCATTCCTGTACATAAGTGCTTTCATACATCTAAGAAAACAATTTATATTCCCTTGAACCTGCTCCTTAACTCTTAGACAGCTAATGGAAAAATAGTTTAAACATCCTGAGGGAAAAGCACGTCCAACACAAAGATAAAATATTTTCAGGCTGATTCAGCTCTGCAAAGACAAGGACACATCCTTTCAATAGGTGAGTGAATGTATTTTTCTGGCTAGTCCTGCATGTTTCTGGTGCTCCTTGAATGCACTCCCTCCAGTCAAACAGAAGACTCAAATTCAGCTTGGAGGGTCTGCCGATTTCTGTTTTCACTGAAGCTGTACATATCTGGAGCAGTTTATAAATAGCTGCAATGCTCGGGATGAATTATTGTGCAACTCTTCAAAGACTATTCATTATTGTTTTGCAAGATATCTGAACTGTATTTTTAGGCAACTGTCTCATGATCAGTCTCAGAAGGGAGATGATTATGGCGAAGGTATGCTTAGAGACAAATTTATGAACACTTTTTCTGGGCAAAGGAATATATACATTTCCCAGAGACTGTTGTACTATTGTTTTGCATCCATTGTACCATAATTGATGATTTAGAAAATCCATTTGCTCTTAAAAATTATCATCAGTCTTGGCTGACCTATTTCACTACCAGTCTTGTCACAACAATAGACCAAATACATACAACATTGTAGGCACTGTTTAGTGTACTAAGAAGAAAACGTGGGGTCTGCAAAACTCAAACGACCAAATGTTATTCTTTTGCTACAGCTGTGGTTAACACATGCTGCCAGCCCTCCCAAAGAGTCTTTTCATAAAGTGTCAACTCCTGTTTGCCTTACTGGTGTGTCTAGTCCCACCTGGGTTATGTGAAGTCGGGATTTACAGTGGACTGTAAAACTTCTATGAATTTGTTTCCTAGTAGACTTATACCTGTAGGTCTCAGTGGAAGCATTCACAGGAAACTGGCCCAAAATGTATGAGTCAAAATAAAATAAATACAAAATGAAACCATGTTGCTCATGACTACCTATTAACACTGATACCTTCAGTTCCTGAGATCATAGTATTTCTTTAAAAGGTAAGATAAAGGAAAACTGTAAAACTCAGAGAAAATTTCAGACAAAAGATGTTTTCCCCAATAATATGAAAACCATTAACTTCTGGTTTAGCAGTTAGTAAAATTATCCCTTCACAATCTCATAAAACCCAACCATTTCTAGATCCTGAATGAGGAACTTCCTTTTCAACAGTTCTTACCACCAAATCAAAAGATATTAAGAATTATGTCATTTGGATTAATTCCTTCCAGCCTAAAGGCTAGAAGCCTACTTCCTTTTTAATTGAAAGGTAAAAATCTCACATAATCCTGTGACTCCAGAGGCTTCAACAATAAGGAAAACTAATTCAGAAAGAAATTTAAATCACAAGAAGTGGCAACACCAACACAGTAAGCAATGCTTTTAAATTGAAAGGTACAAATGTAAAATGCTAAACATTGAAATGTATCAAGCCCAAGTCCACAAAGTACTCAGAGAAAATTCCTCTATTTCATGAGAAAACAAACTTGTACAGAGAGCACAAGAAAAATGAGATCAGTGAATCACTAGTAACATTAATATTTTTAATATACAGGGGTTAATAATAATAATAATAATAATACCAACCATTAATCATAGTCCCTAGTTGGGTAAAACTCTCACTGAGTTATTTTGGTGTCATTTGGGTTCAGCACTGACATTTCGTTCTACAACTGATTTTCAAAATAAAGAAAGAATATTGCAAACTGCTACATCAAAGTCTGACGTGTCATGTAGCAATGAATATTTCTGTTGGAAATTTACTTGTTTTCTTTTTAAAGCAATGGCATATCTAGGTCTTCCTCAGATTAGAAACATTAACTATTCTGGGTGTGATTCCTTTGTGACTTCATGGAATATCTATAGCACCTGGGGGATGGAGGACTCTTAAGAGCAATTATAGTCATAATGATCTTAAGGACTGTAATAAAAATATCCTAAAAAATAGAACAGAAAAACTTCAGATGGTAGTAAATAAGTGTTAGCGGTGAAGTGTATTATCTCAGTAAACTCTCACATCTTCTTCCTGGTAAATTTTTTCTGTTATGAAGCACCTCTAACAAAGACAGACTTTAACCTACTTTATATTCATAATGATTCATGCAAATTTATCTGTTTTTGAGGCAGGGGGTCAAGTGTTTAAGTTCATTCTATAATAAGCAATATCTGCATAGACTCTTGCTCTATTATAACGAGATATATTTTTCAGAGACATTAAAAATCAAGCCCCTCCAAAAATCAACTATTTGTGAATTCAATTCATCAGTGGCATATAAAATTCAAAACAGGAGAGCTGACCATAAATACACTTTCAAATTTTGTATCTACCTTCTCATAGTATAGAGTCTTATTTTTTAATATGGGGGTTCAGTACTAAAGGAAAGGTATTCAATAGTTCTCACTGCATATAGACAATGAAGGCATGCACCATAAGAGCTATGGCTCTGGCTAAGAATCTCAACATAAATTTGCACGTATCTGTTTTTCCAAATATAAGGCTTTCCTGGCAGGCAGTCAATCCTGCAGGAATTGCCAACCGTTCTGTAGATAGGGCAATTATAATTCTCTGTGCACTGCTGCTAGACCACCTGCACGTTCACATGTGAGGGAAGTCAGATTTGAATGCAGCTCTCAGGAGATGAATGCCAACCCACTGCTATTTACTATCAATTTTCATTATCTTCTGTGTAATTAAGAAACACCATTTATAACTACACCTGACAAACAACTAAGTATGGCAGGAGCTAGCAGATGTACCTTGTGCTATAAAACTTAGAGTTGAGATGTTACATTCATTTGGGCGGTGGGGGAGTATGCAAAGCCCATATTTTCATGTATAACTCTTTGTTTTCATCAGCATCTTATTGGAGTTGGAAGTGTGTGATATTTTGTGATGATATAGATTGAGAATGTCAAATTCTGCTTCAGATAATGCTTCCAATATTTTTAATGGAAGTATACCTGTAATTTTTTCATTAATCTATTCCATTAGATTCATTAAAATAACATCTTACTTGAAAAAAAATTGGAAAATGAAAATTTAATTATGTCAAATGAGTCATTGTTTTCTCTTAAGAATCAAAAGTCTCATCAGATAATAAAGGGGAAAACAGCTCCACTACTTATTTAAAACGGCAGTTTAGACCACTAGCTGTAGTGTTACTCTATGTAAACAAAATGTAGACAATTATGAAAGAATATAACAGTTTTTATTGCTTTATTTTAGAGTGTTTCACTAAATGGAAGCTTCTAGGAAATATTTTATATTCATCTACTTCTGACTGGGTGATACGCAAATAACCACATGGTGAAGCAATAAAAATAAATTACTCTGCAAACTTCCCTTTTAAGGGTCACCATGCAGGATGGCACGTATTTCAAAAGGGTGTAACACATTAAACTTCATCTCTATCTAGGCTCAGGATTGAATGAATTTTACATGGAAACCAAGTATTTAATATTGGATAAACTAAATAATGAAAAAAATCTTTTGATTTCTAGAGGGACACGTTTGTTGACTTTACTGTTCAGTCAACAACAAACCTGGGCTTTTCACAAAGATAGGACACTCCCTATGTCATCTTCTTTTTGTGACAGTGTGTACAAATTTCAAAATACTTAGGAGTTTAAAACTAATTGCCAATATGAACCACACTGCAAAAATATATCCCGTGCACACTTTTGAAAACATTAGTCATAACTGGGTAATTTTCACACCCACAGCTGGCTAAGAAAAAAATGCAAATCATTTAAAACAAAAGATCATTTTAGTGCAAAACTCTCTCTCAAGGCTTCCAGAATATGAGGCAATGGCATGAAGATATGCCTTAAATCAATAGCAGGAAACCAGGCAAGAGAAATATCTAGACAGGAGCTCTACAGGGCAGCATGGAAACAAAGTGGATACTAAACCAAATATTATTTTACATATTTTCCCAGTAATTATGCTCCTCATTCAGAATCACTAGGAATTGTCTTGGATTTGTGTTATACTTTCAGTACTGGCATGTAAGAGTTTTGATTCCCCTGATCTGTGAATACAAAGTCACACACTGAGCTGCATGCCAAACAGGCTTGTAGTCTGGATCCTTCTGGGATCTCCCACGGCAAAATCCAAGCCAAGCAGGCAACTTCCCTGGCAAGGAGCAGGGCGCAGGTGAGGGTTGGTGGCAAAACAAGAGGTTCTGCAGTTGCAAAACTGACCAGCTCTGCACGTATTTACAGTGCAGTCAATAACTGGGCTCAGGGTTGCTTTTGGACAGAGGGAGGTCTGACACATACAGTAAGCACAGCTCTCCTCCAAGTAACCAATACCTTTGGGAATGAAACAAATTGGCAGGCCGGTTAGGGTAACACAGATGAAGAGCTCATTTTGTGTTGGGGGGGGAAAAAACAGACCAAGAAATGAAAGAGGGCATTATGTTTTTCATGCAAAATGAAAAGTTCACCATGCGATTTCATTAACAAAAGACCACGACAATATGTACTCGGGTAAAGAGAACAACTTCTGACCTTGAAATTGCGTGCTAAATAAATTACCTCAGAGCGAAAGTGATGAGTTCTCATGACAGCATCTGGAAGGCAAGCAGAAAGACACACAGGCTTCACCAGCTCCCCCTCGCATTTCGCTCCGGCTAACGGGTTTACCCCGCCGCTCGCCCTTTGGCGCACACTTCGGGACGGGTCTGGCCCTCCCGGCGCAGCTAGCAGCTCCGCCCGGCATTTATATTTAATTCATCGGGAAGAAGTTCAGCATAAAGTTCTGCTGCACTTGAGAGACCGGGGAGGGCTGGGAGGTTTCCCATCCCCTCACCTCGCTCCCGCTAGCCGACGTTTCTTTAAGGGATGGGTGGAGACAAGGCTGCCGCAGTCCTGGGCTCGGCTTGAATTTTCTTTAAAGCCTTTGCCCGGCTAAACCGAGGCAGAGCGGCCCTTCGCTGGCAGAAACCGCGGGATGGGTCGGGAGCACCCCCCGCCGCCCTCGGGGACTGGCAGCATCTCTTACCTCGGCTCCTTGAGCGACCTGAAAAGACGGATTTGATGGGATGCCTCCCTTTCTGGAGCCTGCGGTGCCAGCAGCAGAAGAATAAAATCGTGGCAATGGTCCCCAGCAGCAGCAGGAGCAAGAAGAGGGCGCACTGGATGCTGTAGGGTCTCAGCAGGACCAGGAAAGCCGCGGCAATCATGGCTCAAGCACCCGGCTGCCCCTGTGCGTGCGCGGGTCTGCGGCGAGCGGCGGGGGGCCGGGCAGCGCCGGGCAGCCTCTCCCCCCGGCAGCGGGGCGGGCATCGCCGCCGGCACCGCGCTGCTGGAGCCGGCAGCCGGGCGGGAGGCGGCGGCGCGGGGGAGGAGGAGGAGGTGGAGGAGGAGAAGGAGGAGGAGCGGGATGAGATTCAGGCCGTGACTCAGCAGCCGCCGCCGCGGTGATGGTTGCGGTGGGGCTTCCCCTCGGCGCCCGCACGGCTGCCGGGAGCGGGGAGAGCGGCGGGCAGAGCCGGAGCGCCCGCGGGCACCGGCGGGCGGGGCGGGGCCGGGCCAGGCGCCGCATGGCAGCCGGGCGGGCACGGCACGGCACGGCGGGGCGGGGCGGCGGGAGGAGGAGGAGGAGGAGGAAGGTGCCGCCGGTGCCGGGAGGGAGGAAGGATCGCCGAGCGGCGGGGACTCGGCCGGGACGGCCGGTGACATCACCGCTGGAGCTGCGGCAGAGGGAGGCGGAAAATGGCTGGTGCGAGGTACGGGGGGACCCCCGGGGGAAAGAGGGGCCTCGGCTGAGGGGCGCGGGGCGGCAGCGAGTGCCCGCCCAGGTCTGTGGGCGCTGGCGGGGGAAGGGGCTCTGTGGTGGACCCTGGACCCGAGGTGCCGATCGCAGCGGGTTTCGTGGCAAAGCTGTAGTGGGGGAAGGGACTGGAAAGTATTAATGAGGTCCACCCTGACAAGGTGACCAGGGCCTTCGTGTGGTGCTGCCCCGTGTCCCTGATGTCGGGATTTAGCCGACAGCTGTGTAAGGGAGGCCCCGGGCAGCGCTCCGGGACGCGGCCCCGCAGAGGGCTGTCACCGGCGGTGCCCGCGCTGTCCTCGCCCCCCGCGCCGTGTGTGCTTTGCACACTCTCTCAGCCGTGTCCTACATGAAAGCCGCGGGGAAGTTGTCTGGCGCAGAGGCTGGACAGAGCAGCACCTGCAGGGACCCTCTCATTGCAGGAAATTGCAACGCGCTGCAGCCCGTGCCCTTCGCGTACCGCCGGGCCGGAGCTAAGGCATCGCAGGTAGCATCGAAATCCTGTGCATGTGCATGTGCAGGTTGCTAATGCAGATGATAACAGGAGTTCACCTACGTTGCTACCTCTGTAGCTGTTACTGTGATACTCCAGACTTTCAAAGACTCTCTCAACACTGTTAAACGTGCACAAAAAAAAATCATGTGCTGAAAATATATCCAGGTACCATTTTGCAATATGTCATTTGCCTGTGTCCCTTGTGAAAAAGGTTCATTCAAGGCAAAATCCTTGTGCTTTTCATGCATCTTTGATGTCACTACATAAATCTGAGGAACATTTCCAAAACTTTATAGAACTAATTAAAATCTCTGTGTAAATATTGAAATAACATTAAAATGTTACAGCTTTATATGACTGCCATGAAACTATATATGAAAAACATATGTGCAAATTTAAATTAAATTACAAAATATGCAACCTGGAAGGACAGAGAAACATATCTGTGGTAGCTTAAATAAGAACAGGAAAAATAATCTATAAATTAGCAAAACTAATTTATCACTGAGTTAATAACATTGTACCAGTGTACTGTACCCTTAAGGTTAAGGAAGTCCATTATCATTGAAAGAGCCTCATGATACCGAATTGGGGAGGGCAAGTAAAGAAAGAAAAAAAAAATTGGCTTTTAGGTCTGTAATATTTTAGTCCAGGAATTTTGTATCATTTCATGCTATACACTAACGTAGTGAGCCAAAATAGTCTGTCATATTACTTTGTAAAATGGAAAGTTGCTACATTGCAGCCATCGATTCAAAGCTTTCCATCACTGCCTAGGAACTGCCAAGTGCTGTAAGGTTGTGTTGCATCACATGGTGCGATATTGAAATCTTTCCTAATACCGCAGTACACTGCAGTAGAATGGTTTTAATGCAGATTACCTGGAGATTGTTCAAACAGTTCATGTTACCTCACTGAAACATGAAGCAAATCTGTGTGATCCTGCTGGCATGGCACTGCCCTGCTGCAGTGCCCTGCTGCAGGATATTGCAGGAGGAAACTTTTTGACCTTCAGTGTCTGCACTGTTTTAGTGTTTCAGAACGGGATGATGGAGCAAATGTAGCATGGCAGTGGCTGCATGTTAAATTGCAGATAACTGAGAGGGAATGGTTCTTTTCACATTGTTCTCATGAAACAGTGCATCATCTGACAGATGAATCTCTAGTGTTAGCTCCTTAGTTTAAGTTTTATAGCTTTTCCCTTCTAAGACTTAGAGCTCACTGGTATCTTGAGGATACTGTTTTTCCAAAAGGATATAATAAATTTCATGACAACTGCTTAATTTATTTTTTCAAATGCAAAAGAGAGTACAGTTTAGTACAAGAAATGCTGACATGCATGATTTTTCAGAGAGCTGCTGCTACAGGCTTCTGAGTCAACTGTCTCATACCAAACTGCTGCTATGGCTTTCTTTATATTCATTACTGCTCTGTGTGTGTTAAATACTGCAGGGTTTGGTAGCATGGTTAAAATGTTACTTCCATGGTGAATAAAGTTTAAGTTCCTGAAGTTATTTCACATTAAAAATAAGCAAACTATATGTGAGTAGAATTTTTTACCCCAGATAGTAATAAAGAGAAATTAAAAGAAGTTTTTTATGTATAGCACTTTTAATTTAAGCTTCTTTATGGAATGTTTTTCCTAAACTTTTCCTGAATCTTAAGGCGGACAAACAGAGAAGAGAAAAGAAATGAAGAGAGAAGGTTAAAACAAAACCTCTCAGCTGAGATTTGACCTCAGAAGGAGGATCCTGGAGGTGAAGCTATTGCAGAGAAGAGGAAGTAAAAGAAGGTAACAAAGTCTTGAGACTAACTGTGATAACAGTGTGTGGAATGGCAGGGGAAGTCAGAAGTTGTTGAGAACTGGAATTGTTTTATAATCTAAGAAGGCAGTTATTGATCCTGCAATAAGTAAAGAGTCCTGCTACCGTTTCAGAGTACACATAATGTAGCTGCACTTTTGCAGAGATGTTAGCAGGTGGGACTTAGTGTCCTGCAGATGCTTGTTTTGATGGGGATCACAGGCAAACAGAGCATTGACAAAGTCACTGGCATAGCTGACGTTTTTGGCAGGAGTCTGGGAAGCAGCCTTTTACTTGAGCAATGCTGAGGGAGGAGGTGGTGATAAGTATTTAGCAGAGGGATGAAAAAGGAAAGTTCTGCTTCAGAGAATCCACAGAAAAGAGGTGACCAACAAACACTTGCAAGTGGAAAGGATCAGGAGGATGCTTCTGTGGTTGCAGTTGCTCTTGGATGGAGTTTACCTATTTTCCCAAGTTGTGTAAGGAAGGGAAACAACATGAAAATTATGTCATATTTCTGCAGTTCAATGTAAGAGTTGAGCAGGGAATGTGCTGTAGCAGCAATAGCCCTCCTGCAGGGAGACAAGGCAGTGTTGACCTCAAATATTCTTTCAGCCAGTCTTTCATGATAACCTGTTCTGACTTAGCAGTCTTGCCCGGCAAGGCTGAAGGCAGAGATATGTTCTTCCCTTACCCTTGCCCTGCGTGCAGACTTGCAGTACAGTCTCTGGGCCAGTGCATATTCCTTGATAATTTAGGTGAGAAACCATGTCTGCAGAGATCTGCTGACCTCCCTCAATGTGAGCTGCGGGATTCAAGGGCACTCCGCAACTCTGCGAAGGCACCTCTCTGCTCCTACAAACCTCAGTCTCAGACCTCATTTTGTAACTGTAAGACTCCCTGTATCAGTGAGCTGAAGGAAAAAGGTCACATGATGGATCTGGTGATGTGGACATAAGAATAGGAGATGATACATGAGATGATTTCAGAAGAGTTGCTGTTCACTGGTTTGTAGTTATGCTTTAAGGACTGTGTTTGTAGTATTTAATTATAATTAAGTAAAATATTCTGCTTAAATGACTACTTACCTGGCTACAAGGGTTCTCTAATCATCTAATACTTCTTAACAAAATATTTGGTTTTTTTCTAATCAAATGGGAACCAAAGAAAATATAGTAAAAACTAAAGAAGCAAGCAAAGTAAATATAGAAAACATAATAGTGTCTGAGTATTACCAACTTCATTCAATAAAATATTTGACTATCCCACTTGATATTCTACTCACGGATTACATGCTGCCCCCAGTGTGCTTCCTAGCAGCTTAAACATACCGGATGAGAAGATGTTGTGAAAGGTTCTGGTAGATGATTAAAGTTTATAAAATATTTTCTTCAGCTGAAAGAATAACATTTTCCAGCTTGATACAGACATTCCATTTCAAAAAAATCTGTTATGTGAAATGGTATGTTCTAAATTCGGCAAGGTTATTGCAAATCTTTGTTCTGCAAAACTTGTTAAATCGTTTGCTCCATACAGTCCTTTGCATGTTTGGAGGGCACACTAGCATTACTTAATTCTCACAATACCCTTGAAGTTAGGCAAATGTGTATTATTATTTCAGATCCTTTAAAAGGAGAAGGTGAACTAGAATGGTTGTGTGATTTACCCAAGACCAAAATGTGATTCCAGTGCTACAGACTAGACCTCTCCATGACTGGAACATTTTGCCATCTGCAGGTGTCTTAGGTGACCATGTAAAACCAATTTCTTGCCAGCTTTATATACGTAGAGGTAGTTGTCCTCATTTTGTGAGTTCATCAACTCACACAACTTGCATATTTTAATTCCCTCTGTTTATTAGACTGAATGTAAATCAAATGGAGAATGACCCATGCAGTTGTACACTCATGGCTTAGAGTGTTGCTAGAAAAATGCTGGCAGGAATTCTGTGGGCATAAATTGACTTTGCAGACAGAGAGGCTGATCTTGAGCCTAGATGGAAATATACTGCTGAAGCTCCTATGGCGCTTTTTTTTTATTATTATTACAGCAGCAGTGTGCCCCTTTGTCCTTGGGTAAAATTTGCTCTGTATTCATTTTTGGCAGTGTTGAATGTAGCAGTTGTCAATCTGAATGTGGCCTTACATCCCAGAGGGAATTGAACTTCATTAGTGTTTTTGTGTATATAATTAGAAGTTGTTTAAGGATCGCTTCAGACTGATATACAACACTGGTCATTCCACTCATATTACTTTATAAAGTTAGGTTGAACTACATACAGTAAAAAGACATTTGATTTTATAGGAAGGGAAAAATTACCTCTAATAAGTTTTGAGGTTTTTGTCTTTGCAGGGAAGATGCCTCACTGTCAATTCTCCTAAGTGCATGCAGAATTACTCTCAGTTGAAGTAATATTCCCTGAAGAAAAAGGACAACATATATGTTTGTTTTTCTAGCTCATGACCTTTAATAGTAATGCAGATTTTTTTTCCCCTCCTACCTACCAAAATGCTGCAAAACCAGAGCAATTGAGGAAGAGCTTTGGAGTAAAAGAGCGGGCACTTTGAGTATTAACTAGGCATGACTTCTTGTCTATCATCACTCACCCATGATAGCCAATAAAGACATATAAGTAGAGATGATAAGATGCTGCTAGGTTATTAAATACTGATCAAAAATCAAGCCTGGAATTTTCTAGCTGTTATTTCACTTCTATGGTTTTCAAGGGAGAATGCCACAAATAGTGGTACTTCGGGGCAGCATGAAATATATAGCTTCTGCCATCTTATAAAAAGAGTAAGATACATCCTCTTATAAACTCTCATATCAGGTTATCAGTGGGTTTGTTTCAACAAATCCAATTTGAAAGTACATTAGTTGCATATGGAAAGTATGCCTAATATTTTTTCAGCCTTTTAGGAAAAGGTTATTTGACTCCTTGGGCTCCTATACAGAGCAAGCGCAGTTTTGCACGTCAGCACAGATTTGCTTGTGGTGGAACTCGCCTTCCCATAAACATCTTTAGACAAAATAAGTGAGTGCATCACTGGTCTTTATCGTTTGGAAGTGTTGTGTTGGAATACCCAAGCCAGGTTATAATGAGTACAGCCAAGTGTTTGACTTTACAAAGCCATGCTGACTTGTTTCTCCTTCCAGGCTACTTACTGCTTCTAAGTGTTTAGATAAATTAATCTGCATGGAAGGAGCTTTCATCTGATTATTCAAACTCTTGTACCTTAGGTATCTCATCCAATTCAATAAATAAAGTGATTTTTTTATTGGTCTGTATATTAATACATTTCGTTGTGCATGGCATTTGTGAACAAAAAAATTGAAGCGAGTATTAGCTTTCCATCTGTCAGCTGTGAAATAGCTATTTAATAAAGATACTAACCTGTGATATAGAATTAAGATAACTTCCTGCATCTTGTTATTTGGCATCTTGTTACCTTTATGTGAATCTTTCACTAAGTGTGGGATTAAAATACAGATAAATAAATGTGTGTGGTTTATAGGCATGTGAGGTATCTAGGCTCCTATTTAAGCTCAATTTCATCATCAGGGCCCAGAGAACAATTTGTTTCCCTGAATTTATGTGTTTGGTGCTATTTGAGATGCGTGCAGTTAGTAACCACCCTCACAAGCCTGGAGGAGGGTCTAAGCCCTCTGTGAAGTCTGCGCCTATCAGAAGAGACAGCTGGAGGCCAGGCATAATAATTTATAGTATCTAAGACTGCACCATGCATTTATTTTTAGGCAACTGAATTGAATCCTACAGCATTTGAAATATGCTGAATTGCTCTCCAGGGAGCTTTAATTGTGTTCAATAGAGACTTGACCTTTACAACTGTTGGAGTTGCTGAAGGCTGAGACATCTCCAAAAGGGTGACCGCTGTGATGGAATACCCTGGGGAAATTTGCACTTCTGGAGTGGCAGGTGAAGGCCAAGCAGAATGACACTGATGCTAGACGCATGTTTAGGAAGCCAAGTTGATCCCCTAGATCTCCAGTGATTATAGTGATAACTTAGATACCTGGTGCAAATGTAAGCATCTCAGTCTAGAACTGAATCCTGTACTGAGAGCCCAATAATGATGCTAGGTTGCTATCTTGAAATTTATTAAAATGAGTGCCATTTTTCACTGTTAGTTGAATAAATTATTCATTAGAACAGAAGTTTAGGACTTCCAGATATACTAAATATACCTGCTTGAAATTCATTACTCATCCTTTCCTAATGGTTTGATGCAAAAATCAGAGCTTTACCAATAAACTTCTTCAGGCTTTCAACTTAAGCCACAGTACTACAAAAGGCTTTGGCATTTTATTTTATTTTATTTTATAGAACTTCTAGGTTGCTAAAACTCACAGCATGGAGGGCACTACTGTGAAAAATAATAACGTCCTCATGAATTCCTTGGGTCACTCAATGCATTTTGGAATGTGGTACAAGATTTGTGCCAAATTCTCTGTATAATCCTGTGAGTTGTGAATGCTGCTGAGGCTTTGAAGTCAAGGAGATGATCTGCATAAATAAGGTCAGAGATGTTGCTTTACCATACTTTTACTTTTCAGAAAAGTATCTCGGATTATTTCATAGCTAGTCGAACCAGGATAGTCATCTACAGTCAGGAAGTGACCTGTTGGATATCAGGAATAAATCATAGTTTTATCCTTCCACTGAAAGACAAGTGGGATCATTTCTGTGCACTTTTAGTTTTGATAGATGCTCCTCCAGATTCCCAGCTGAATTTGGAACACAGTGATACTGATGATTCTGGAAAATCTGTATTTCTCAGCTGAGAGCAGCAGATTTGTGCTTTTGAATCATATTTTCCCATAAAAAGACTAAAATATTGCACTGTAAATCTCTTGAGCAGTTGCTTTTGCATTCTTCTGACAGTGCCTAATTCCACTGAATTAATTAGTAAATCTTACACTGATTTCATAGGAATAAGATTAGAACCTACAACAGGGCATATAACATATT